CTCAAGGTGCATGTGCAGAAGCACCACCACCAGAAGAACCAGTTCGTTTGCTCGGGCACAAAGCAAATCAAGGCGATAGCAGCTCTTCATGACCATCATGCTGGGCTTCAAGAACGCTGCAAGCAGTATCTGCAAACAACCGCGAGGCTCATGTCGTCCACTATTGTACCAGCGCTCCCAAGGACAAAGAATTACATAGACAAGGATATCAGGCTGCTTTACACCTCTTCTGGACCGATGTATGTGAGCCATCGAAGTCTGAAAGAGGGCACGTTCGCTAGAAGAGTTCGCAACGTGTACTATGACAAGTCTTTTGCAGAAGCGTTTCTTCAGGAAATCCTGATGCAACTCATCCAGGCCAGTGTTGCTCACGGGGTGAACGTGTTAGGTCTGTGTTGGTGTGCTGAAAGATGTCATCATGTCGTTGCATCTTCCTTTTTTAGTTAGGTGCGAACAACTTGGCCTCGACTTCACCTGCGAGCACAAGACGCGGGCAACGTGTTGTCCTCACTGTATCCCACACACACCCGCTTCTGGTGGCCAATTCTGGAAGACGTCGCGTATTCCCCTGCCATACAGGACAGATTGCGCTGCATGTTAGAAGTGCTCGAGCAGTCTGAAGAATGGAGCTACATCAGCACGGATGCGACACTGAAGACATGCCTGAAGCTGAAGGGACAGGAGTCCTATCGCGCATCGAAAAGAGTTCGGAATGATGCACCCTTTCCTGACAGCGTTGCGTGGAGACGCCTTCTCACGGTGCGCGGTCGCACAGGAGCAGTGCTGCTACTCGAGCCAATTCGGACGGAAAAGTCTGAGGATTTGATAGAAGCGTTTGAAAACAATTTTTCGGACGTTGCTCTGGATCAAGTGCGGTATATGGCTACAGACCAACCTTCGCCCAAGCTGTACCAGTGGCTGAACACAAAGTGCCCGAACCTGGTTTGCTTATGCCTCGATCCAATTCATTTAGCTATTGTCTATGAGTATGCCCAGTGGAACAAGAAGACAGTTGGCTCGAAGATGCTGCGAGCCCTACTGTCAAAGGTTCTGGCTGTTGATGACCAGAAGACTAGCAGTGACTGGGGCCCTTTTTTCAATGGCTCGAATCCCACGCCACTGAACAAGGCAGAAGAAATTATGAGAGAGAAGATTCTGCAGTGTTCAATGTCCGAAAGGCAGGCAAAGAAAATCATGGCTGAGTTAGACACTTCCACACCCTTTCGCGATCGGCTGGCCTTCATCAGCGGACTCGCAGCCATATGCTCTCTGAGACAGGAGGAAGTTTCCCGAAAGGTCACAGGCGCGAACAAGGAGGTCTACATGGTCTTATGGGCAGCATGTGCGCCGGACCGGTTGGAATGGCTTTGGAACAATGTCAGATTGCGGCATACTCTGACAAAGGCGCAGCAGCTTTTTCTTCCGAGCGGTACCTCATCCAATGAAGCGTTGCACGCCGAGATTAATTCTTGGTTGCGCACATGCAACTCGCTTCACAGGTCGACTCTTCGTCTCAAGCTACGATTGATGCAGCACCGCAAACTGTTGACGCATCACATAGCCACATGCTATCCGTTTGCTAGAATGACGGCAGAAGGTGTCGTTTTATCTCGAGCGCTGGCTAAGCCAACGTGGTCGGTGGAGACCTGGAATGCTTGGTGCGAGGAGCAACGTCGCGATGGAGGCCAAAGCAAGGCTGATCTGCCCCTTATGCGCTCTCGTGATATTGAGATCGCTATGGTAAAGGGTTGGGTGCAAAAGAAACCCGCGTCAAAGCGGCGTCGAATTAAGCGAACTCCATTTTCTGCCAAGCGCCAGCACCAACTAAAGGTTGGTGGGGTAAAGGGGCATAAGTGACACCGCAAAGCGACTGTTGCTGTGCGCGACATGTCGCAATCGTGAGGTTGCGACGGGTGTGAAACGACGGATAGCAAAACGCGCGTGTTGTTGCCCTTGTTGGATGACCTGCTCCTTTGCACTAAGAGACGCGTGCCTGATAAGTTCATTGTGACAAGATCTTGCTGGCTGGCGCAGGACTGTGATCACTTCGATGACGTTTTCCCTTCACCTATGCCATGATTTGAGTTTGGCACGCTTGGTTGAGTGTGTTTTGACACGTGTGCTGTGTCAATTCTTCACGCACGCCAGTCTCACATCGACTGAACCTTGATCCAAACTAGCCTCATTTAATCTTCTACATGGTTTACCTTGCCCTGATGCCCGGCATCCTTTAAAGTTATCAGGTATATTGAAGGCTACGCCGAAGTCTGGAGTTACATAAAGTTGCGCGCAGGCAACGCATGATCCGTGACTGGAAGGAATTCTCCGAGATACGGTGTGTCTGTCATGTTGGGTGTACCAGATGCTCTCACCGGTCACGGGTTCGTGCTCGCGACTAGCGACTCGGCTCTTTGTCGGCTAGACATCGAAGGTGTTGTCGGCCTCGCTCGAAGTGCTACTACACTAATGAAGTTTGATCTATGGTACGCGCGTGAAGCCCATTGTGCTCGCCTTGGCAATCTGGCACGCTGCTCAAAGGCTCCTGCATGAACCGCCCATAGCCTACAAGCGAGCTGCAGCTCCATGTCTTATCAAGCAGACACGTGCACCTGGCGACACGTGAAATGCCTCACAAGACCACCCTGCTGGACGTTCGAAACTTTCAAGTGTCCACCCGAGTCGGAAATTCTAACCCTTTCAAGTGGACTGACCTCCGAGCTAAGCCGTAGATGCCCAGGCAGATTAGTATCATGGGGTACGGTTTCTCAGGTATCAACATCGTATGCATCAGCGGCACCGGCACGGTCCACAAGACCCTAGCGAATGACGCCGCCTTGTGTCCCCTCATGATTGTTCCGGAGGAAAGCGAACTTTGCTAAGCTGACAGCTAGTGTAGAGTGTAGACAGGAAACACCTGAATACGACTGCTGGTGGATGCGGACGCCAACAAACTTGCGCACATTGAGGACATGGGCAAAGCCGCCCTCGTGGACGCATCTTCCAAGGGCCATGTCGAGATTGTACGTTTTCTGCTGGATGCTGGTGCCGACAAGAACTTGTGGGACGACTACAACGCGAATGCTCTCATGGCCACATTTTCTCAGGGCCACGTGGAGATTGTGCGTTTGCTGGTGGACGCTGGTGCCGACAAGAACTTGCTGGACGAGTTCCGCGCGACCGCTCTCATGCGCGCATCTTCCGAGGGCCACGTCGAGATTGTACGTTTGCTGTTGGATGCTGGTGCTGGCAAGATCTTGGAGGACGAGTACCACGTGACCGCTCTCATCGTGCATGTTCCGAGGGCCATGTCGAGATTGTACATATGCTGCTGGACGCTGGTGCCGACCAGTCCTGACAGGAAAATGCAGGAAAGATCCGGCCTGACCGCTCTCGTGGACGCATCTTCCAAGAGCCATGTCGAGACTGTACGTGTTCTGCTGGGTTCTTTCACTAGGCCTCTCTCAGAAGTAGGAGCAGGCGAATCTCCTAATGTGAGTAGTTCAGTTGGCACTGTGTCGGCATCGTCGATACGCAACAAGGTGAGAGGCGAGTTAGTGGTGGTGGTGGTAGTAGTAGCATCACGAGCAATCATATGCAGTTGTTGTAGTCGAAGCAGGAGGAGGTGGTAATAGAAATCGTCATATTCATTTAATAACGCATTAATAGCAGGTATATCTATTGTCAAACATAGTCAACACAAGGACGGTGCGCGAAATAGACCCTAAAGGTCTCGGCCACATATATATATATACATTTTTTGTTTTGTTTTTTTTTTTTGGAGGGGGGGTTGGGGTTTAGGGTTTAGGGGGTTTAGGGGGTTTAGGGGGTTTAGGGGGTTTGGGAGGTTTAGGCGGTTTAGGGGGTTTAGGGGGTTTAGGGGGTTTAGGGGTTTAGGGGCTTGGGTGTAGGGTGTAGGCTTTAGGGTTTAGGGGTGTTGGAAACGGACTATTTTGCAGGGTTTGGTAGTCACAGGTGGTTGGGGATCCAGGGCTTAGGGCCTAGCATCCTCTACTGTCCCTGACCGAGCTACCCCTATTCAAACATGACCCCTTGTTCAGGGTTTAAAGTGCACGGTTGGGATAGTATTAAAAATCTAAGTTCATCTTCCTTACTGGGCTTAAGTACCCTTAAAAATGCAAAATGTTACCCGGCTATGACAAAGCTTAAGGTTTTAGGGCTACCGTCCCTTGCCGAACTACCCCTACTCAAACATGACCCCTTGTTTAGGGTTTAGGGTTTAGGGTTTAGGGTTTAGGGCTTAGGGTTTAGGGTTTAGGGTTTGGGGTCCGCACGCCTTTGTCACCCATGTTGTTCAGATCCAGGCTGAGGACGGTGAGGGAATGGCTTTTCTTGAGGATGCCTGGCGGAAAGGATTTGGGTCTCGTAGGCGTTAGAGGCGCTGTAAGGGTGCTTTAGGGCTTGTGGAGTGGTTTAGGGTTTAGGGTTTAGGGTTTTGGGTTTAGGGTTTAGGGTTTAGGGTTTAGGGTTTAGGGTTTAGGGTTTAGGGTTTAGGGTTTAGGGTTTAGGGTTTAGGGTTTAGGGTTTAGGGTTTAGGGTTTAGGGTTTAGGGTTTAGGGTTTAGGGTTTAGGGTGCAGAGGTGCAGCACATAGTGAGCTCAGAACATCCGCTGCGCCCAGCGAAGCTAGAAGGCTACCTTTGCAGACCTTCGTGACCCATCACGCACCCTAAACCCTAAACCCTAAACCCTAAACCCTAAACCCTAAACCCTAAACCCTGAACCCTAAATCAAAGGCTTCTCCCTCCGGGAGTCGCTGTAGTAGGCGGCTGCACAAGTCAAGTCCTGGTGAGATGGTGAGGCATGACGCAACAATATGTGCCTTGAGGGACCGAATGAACCCTAAAAGGGTTTCTGGTTCATATACCTTCATAGGAACAATCGTAGTATAGGGGTGTATGACCCCAATTTTGGGGGGGTTCATTTTGTCCCCAAGGTGAAGCAACACCTGCTGGTGAGAAACGTTCCACCGGCTCTCATCGTTCAGCGGGCACCCGACTCTAAGCGACTTGCATTGGAGACCACCTCTGCGTAGACTGCATGGTTCACCTCCCCGCAGGCCTCGAACAGGCCCCGAGCTTGGGTATATGCGTCTGCCGCCTGTGCCATGTCCTCTAGACTCTCCAAGCCCTTGCCAACACGCGCCCAAAGCTTCGCGACAGTCGCAGCATGCGCGCCGGCCGCATGATATATTTGGAGGGCCTCTTTGAAGTAATGAACGGCCGCGCACATGTCCTGCATCTGCTCATGAAGCTTACCAATCTCTGAGAGAAGCAGCGCATAGCCCGGGCTGTCTGTGACCCCTATCACCTTAGTTGCTGAGTTCCCAGATAGTGTACACTTTCAGTTCTATAGGGGATTATGGTATCCTAAAAAGTGTAAAGTGCTCTTTCAGCTACTAAGTAACTGCGTACACGTGTTGTGAGCTCCTGTAAGCTGCGAGCGCACTCTCGCTGTTCCCGGCTTTTCGGTGTGCTGTGCCCTGGTTCATCAGCAAGTCAGCATAGCCAGGGGACTGTTCCAGGCCCATCTCCTTGTATGCTCTTCCCGCCTGCTCATAGAAGTCTAAAGCTTCGCTGAACTTCTCCGCAAATCTGCTCCTGGAGGCCAGGTGCTTGAGCACACGTGCGTAGTCTTCGTGGCTTGATGAACTGAGGCTCTCGAAGAGGAACCGAGCCTCCTCTAAATACTCCGAGCTCTGAGTGCTGACGTAGAGGTCAACCAGCAACTGAGCATAGAGCACCGTGTTGGTGCTGTTTAAGGATTCCAGCATGGCCTTCGCCTCCAGGTACTTCCTAGTTCATGGCTGGGATAGCATCAAAAACTTAAATGTCCATTCCTTATTCACTTTAAGTACCCTTCAACATGCAAGAAAATGTTACCCCATTCTCTATTCCTTCTTCACTTTAAGTACCCTTAAACATAACCCCTAAACCCCTAAACCCCCAAACCCTGAACCCTGAACCCTGAACCCTAAACCCTAAACCCTAAACCCTAAACCCTAAACCCTAAACCCTAAACCCTGAACCCCACAATGACAAAGCTTCTGTCGCGGCCCCTCCCAGTCTTTCCTACGCCGCTGGCGATGGCCAGCGCGGCCTAGGTGTCCTTGGTTGCTGAGTTTCGGGTTTGGGGTTAGGGTTTCGGGTTTCGGGTTTCGGGTTTAGGGACTTCATAAGCCACAAAAAACAGTGTACACTTTCAGGTTCTATAGGGCATTAGAGTACCCCAAAAAGTGGTAAAGTGTACTCATCAGCTCCTAGGTGTCGAAGACTTGTTGCCATTTCCAGGCTTGGGCCAGGATGCCCTCCTTGGCCAGCTGCCAGTATCCTCTCAGCACGCGGATAATCTGTAGCGGAGTCGATCAACAAGCCTTGGGGGGGGGGGGGAAAGGAACCCTGAAGTTTGGGGTCATATAAGCCCTATACTACTCTAGCCCCTCTTCAGGTATATGGACCCTAAGCCCTTTTAGGGTTCATTTCGTCCCCAAGGAGCCTGCTACGGAGTTGTAGACTGCAAGCGGTGCGCACTTGTGATCTGAGCTGATCTTCTCCTCCAGCCAAGTTGCGGCCTGTTCTACCAGCCACTCTCGGATGCGACGCCGGACGCTGGTATTGAGAGCAGCAACCTTCAGGGACTGTGCAACATCTGCTGCATCCGGATCTATGCAGTGTAAGATGTTGATCTTGTCATCCTCGACTGTTGCTGAGGCATCTTCTATCCTGAGGGACGCAAGTAGAGCATAGACCTCCTGCAGCCCGTTTTGGAAGAAGTTGCTCCGGAAAGATTCCTCTTCGGCGGGAGGCATGATGACCGAAAGCTTTTTCTGCTCTTGCATTGCAACACTGAACTCGAAAACGCACCAAACTCTCCGGACGTATTTGGGGTTTTTCCAAGGGCTCATCATCGCCAGGATGTGCGACACTCCTGCCACTCTCCTTGCGAAGGTATCCTTGAACTCTCGAAAGGGCACGTGACACCCCAAGGCTTGTGCTTCCCACACACGATGCTGGTTGACGCAAAGGCAGCACATCCAGATGAACTGGCTCCGAAGATCCAAGTTTCTCAGAAACGAGCAAAGTGCATCTGCAATGTCGCCCACAGAATACGCCCAGGTATAGGAGAGCATGAACTCTGACTTGCCAGCATCGCCATCTCTTAGCGCGTCAACGTATGCAGCTCCCAATCTCTCATCACGCGGGCAGAGGAGCTGCTCCCCTTTCTTCCTGATCACATCTGCCTCGATGTCATAGACGGCGGCGGAACGCTCAAAGCCTTTCTCCTTCATCTCTTGCAGGAAATCCGTAGCAAAATATTGGCAGCTGATGCCCCGTAGTAGCCCTCCCAAGGCTCCGGAGTTCGACCCAATGGGGCTGTCATCGGCAGCCGCATGCTTCGGCATGCACCCACAGTAGGGAGCGAAGCAGTACATGGGCAGGGCCTCTCAAAACCCTTGAAAGGTTGAGAGCCTTCGGACGTTCATAGAAAAGCCATCGCTTTCACTCTCTGCTGAAGAGTTCATAGGGGAGTTTTTGAACCCCTAAACCCCAACCCTAAACCCTAAATTTTGGGAAACCCCCCGTACTTTACCAGCTCCAAGCCCAGTGCAGGCTTGGAGCTTTCTCTTTGAAGCCTTCACAGAGCCAAGTCCGGTCCTGTTCGTAGGGCCCTAAGGGTTTAGGGTTTAGGGTTTAGGGTTCAGGGTTTAGGGAATACATGGGCCTTAAAGTACCTCCTCAAAAGGGACTTTGGGGCCCGGCCAAGTATATAATAATAAGGTACATGGACCCTTAGGGGTAGTTTTATGTAACCCTAAACCCTAAACCCTAAACCCCAAATCCCCTACAAAGAAAGGAGTTTACGGGCCCAAGAGGGGCGGCACTGGCGCGCCTGCGATTGCCGCGGTGCCCTCCTCTGCCAAGTTGTTGTTCCTGAGCCGGGCTTTAGGGTTTAGGGTTTAGGGCTTAGGGTTTAGGGCTTAGGGTTTAGGGTTTAGGGTTTTAGGGTTTAGGGTTTAGGGTTTTAGGGTTTAGGGCTTAGGGTGTAGAGTTTGGGGTTTAGGGTTTAGGGTTCCTACCAAAGCTGAACCAAGAACAAGGCAATCCTAACGAAGAGAAGCTGTAAGCAACAACGAGGCAAAAACAAAATGCCGCATCGGAGAAGGTCGCTTGGCTACTCTGGGTAAACACGCAGTTGGTATTCGGGGGCTTGCGAACAAAGGGGTACCCTGTTTGGGGATCCCTTTAAGGGGATTCTGTTCTATTAGGGGGTATAAAAAGGGGCACCCCTATCTTGAGAAATGCCCATTTGCACTTAACAATGACTAGTTAGCAATGAACAGTTTATCGTTCGCCAGTGGCTTCTTTAGATTGGTATTTGGTATTGGGGGTATTGGGGCTCTGCCCCGATGATAGGAACAGTAGTCATCATACAAGGAAACCTTACCCTAAATCGCGAACCCACGCAAGTTAAAACCCGAAGTTGAGCGCCCCAACCCCGAGACATATCCCTAAACCCTAAACCCTAAACCCTATAAACCCTTTTTTTCAGGGTCCCCCTTTTCCTACCTAGGATATCCCAAGGATCCCAAGCGCCAGATGATGGAGAACGCGATTTCGGTTACCATTTCGGTTCCTGGTGCGCTGGGACTTCGGGGAAGGGTTGAAGGGTTGAAGGGTTGAAGGGTTGAAGGGTTGAAGGGTTGAAGGGTTGAAGGGTTGAAGGGTTGAAGGGTTGAAGGGTTGAAGGGTTGAAGGGTTGAAGGGTTGAAGGGTTGAAGGGTTGAAGGGTTGAAGGCTTGAAGGCTTGAAGGGTTGAAGGGTTGAAGGGTTGAAGGGTTGAAGGGTTGAAGGGTTGAAGGGTTGAAGGGTTGAAGGGTTGAAGGGTTGAAGGGGTGAAGGGGTGAAGGGGTGAAGGGGTGAAGGGGTGAAGGGGTTGAAGGGTTGAAGGGGTTGAGGGGTTGAGGGTTTAGGGTTTAGGGTTTAGGGTTTAGGGTTTAGGGTTTAGGGTTTAGGGTTTAGGGTTTAGGGATGACAAAGCTGTTATAGCAACAGCTCTTGCCATGTCTGCCTCACGCTCACAAGCAGAGTTTAGGGTTTAGGGTTTAGGGTTTAGGGTTTAGGGTTTAGGGTTTAGGGTTTAGGGTTTAGGGTTTAGGGTTTAGGGTTTAGGGTTTAGGGTTGAGCTTTTGGTAGTTTCATGGTCCCTCAGTATGGGCCCTTGAAACGGTACCCCTTCTTAACCCCCTCATATACCCTGTACAAATTCAGGGCCCACACGTCAGAACCCTTTAAAGGAGGTTGGGGACCATATTAAGGGCCCATGAAACTACCCTCAGGGTTGAAGGTTTACGTTTAGGGTTCACGGTGCCACAATAGGGAAACCGTATGATTCGCCGCATCTTCATATTCTAGACCCAAGAGTAACCTAGGAGTAACAAGGGCACCCATTTTGGTTTAGAGGGGCTTATAAGGGAACCCAAACCCGAAAAAAAGTAGGCCCTTATTCCTTCATATAGCCGCCTGACAGGGTCGAGTGGAGCTCCAAGAAACCCTAAACCCTAAACCCTAAACCCTAAACCCTAAACCCTAGACCCTAAACCCTAAACCCTAAACCCTAAACCCTAAACCCTAAACCCTAAACTAAACCCTGAACCCCAAACCCTAAACCCTAAATCCTACCTGTCTCCCCGGTGTCTACGTTGCATGGAAATCACGTGAGCATGCGGAGCCCCGTGCTTCAAGCGCAGTGCAAGAAAGCAAGTCTAAAAAATGTGGGGCCTTCTCAGCCTTCTCCCCAAAGTGAACGAATCCCTAAACCCTAAACCCTAAACCCTAAACCCTACACTCTGTAGTAGAAAGCAATCACCCCGAATCCGCCTCTTCAACGCGTCGGCCAGGGACAAAGCGCCGGAAGCGCCGATCCTTGTGAGTTTGGCGGGTTCAGGGTTTAGGGTTTAGGGGTTAGCGTTTGGGGTTTAGGGTTTAGGGGTTTAGGGGTTTAGGGGTGCAGGGGTTCAGGGGTTTAGGGTTTAGGGTTTCGGGTTTTGGGGTCTAGGGGTTTAGGGGTTCAGGGGGTTCAGAGGGGTTCAGAGGGGTTCAGAGGGGTTCAGGGGTTCAGGGGTTCAGGGGTTCAGGGGTTCAGGGGTTCAGGGGTTCAGGGGTTCAGGGGTTCAGGGGTTCAGGGGTTCAGGGGTTCAGGGGTTCAGGGTTCAATGCAAGGTTCAGGCTTAGGGCAGGGTTCAAGGTCTGGGCGTGTATTGTTCAGGCTTTTAGGTCTGGGGATCAGGGTTTGGGAGGTCAGGGCAGGGGCAGACTGGGACTCTAGGTTTCTTTTGGACGGAATGGCGCTCCGATTATTTGCTTAAGAACCCCCAAGCAAATAAAAGATAAGAATCCCTAAATTTCCCTTATAAGGAAGAATATGCTTTATTCATTTTATTTATTTATTTATTTGTTATTATTTTTGGGGGGGGGGTTCTTAAGTAATTTGTAGTTCCCTGAATCCACAGGTGCCTACAAGGGGTCTATGCAATGCAACCGGGGCGAGGGGAGGGGGGAGGGGGGAGCCACCCTCAATCCTAAAGCCTAAACCCTAAACCCTAAACCTTAAACCCTAAACCCTAAGCCCTGAACCCTAAACCCTACCAATTTGCAGGGAGCCCTGCACCCGCCCCAACCCCCAAAATGCTAAACCCGGTTCCAGGTTCAAGGCCTGCAAAGGCTCTATCCTAAGGAGCCCAAAACCCAAAACCCAAAACCCAAAACCCTAAAC